CATGATCACTGAAGTAAGAGAATAACACATAAGAAATGATGTAAAAGTCAATCTGTATGATTGACTTATGATGTAATTAAATATAATTTTGCAAACATAAAGTGCACTTTTTTATAACCTCCTTGATATAAAATAAGATAAAGCATCCATTTTGTAAAAATTTGTACTTACCCTTGCATCCTAAAGATAAATCGCTTTTTCAAGATCATAATCTTCAACTTTATATAAATATGAACTCTTTGTTAATACATTCAGAAGTTGTTCCAAGTCGTGATAATGATTACAATAATAATCATGATAGTGATTATGATAATAACAAAGATAATAATTATTACAGTATCAACAATAATAGTACTAGTAATAAACGAGGTAGCACTAGTGAAGTGTGGGGCTTCTTCGAAAAGTCTATATGGCAAAAGGACAAGAAAACAGCCAAATGTACAATATCAAATTGTGTACACAAGGAATTTTCATGTGAAAATGGTGGCTCAACCAAACCATTATGGCATCACTTGGAGAAAGCTTATTGGGTGCAGTATATTATGACGGAAGATTATTGCAAAAAAAAGAAGAATACACAGGATGAATGTGGCACTATTGAAGTTCTTTAGAAAAGTAAAATTCTTATTTTTTATTTTTATTTTTATTTTATTTTTTTTTCAATCTAATTTGAAAGAATTTTAGTATCCTAAAGATCCCCCTGCTCCAATGTTAATTGATATTGACAATGTAAAACGATCGCCACATGGATTATTAATCGACAGCTTCCTCTTGCTATAATCAAAGATCCTGAACTTATCGAAATTATACAGTACTTGAACCCTACAGCCCAATTAGTTAAAGCGGATGCAATTAAAAATATTATCATGTCACTTATAATTCAGAAAAGTGAGAATTGAAAGTAAATTTTCTGAGTAAATTTATACATAGTATGAGTGGTTTAAAAAAAAACTTTATACAAAAATTTGAGATGGTTAGATCAATTAAATTATATACACTTATTTTAGTGCACAAATAAACTTAACATATATTTTATTTATCATGTGGTCATACGGAAGATATGTAATGATGACTTCATACTATTAAACTACTGATTACTAAAATTTCTTTATCTCATGCAAGATATTACACGTGGCTTCGATATAACGGATATTGCTTAATATGGAGAATTATAATGAAACCAAATTATGATTTACTGTATTGTTTGATATATCATGATTTTGTTATTTCCATTATATTGAGAGCTATGTGTGTGTCATTATCACATATTTCTAGTTATAACTATAATTATATGCTTATTATACCAGTACGATCATATGAAATATGAGAGGGATGGTTTGAATAATGTTTTTTGCTGTGGCCTATGCTGATTTTGA